TTCCCCACATCCCTATGCACGCCTCTTGCCCTGATTTAAGATGCTCATGCCTACATGAAGTATACTCACTCCTGCTCCAAATCTAGGATCTCTGAGTGATGTGCAGGCTTCATCTTCAAGTTCCTTCTCATGCTCAAGCAATGCACAGAAAAAACCAAGAGTGCTGCAATTAAAAAACAAAAGCCATTGGAATATATCATATAGGCCGGCTTTTCCCACTAGTCATTGGCTGAGTGATGGGATGGTGTAGCAGGTTGAGGGCCTTGGCCAGAAGAGCAGATCAAAATCTCCAACAGTCTCAGAGTGCTTTGAGGATAACGCCCCACTAGAAAGAAGGAGTCTAAAACAAACAGGTCTCCAGCTCAAGACATTTGTCAAATTTTGAAGCTGCAGGTAGCAACAGGGGGAAGAACTAAGATACAACTTCTACACGGCAAAACAGTTAGAATTCAAAGCTGAGAAAGGCCACACTCAAAGGACAAGGATAAACCAGAGCTGAACCAAGTTTTCCAGAAACCTTGGAAACCAACCCAGCCTCAACCCAGCTCAATCTCTGCTTTCACTGAAGGAATCATCCCTTTATTCTTCATGCTACATGGAAAAAAATAAAGACCTTTGCTGATGAAAGGTATTATACGGCATGACTGAGGTTCTTTCATACACGTTCAGGCACACAACAAAGAGCCAGGAAGCCGTGACCAGCAACCAAGAGAATATAAACAATAAAAGCAGACGACGGAGCATCCAGGTTTTGGAGAAGCAGAGAAGAATATTAGAATATTAAAGAAATCAGTGTAAACGGTGGATGGAAATCAATGAAAAATGGTTAATTCGACAATTAGAGTTAGAATATATACAAAACAATCAAAGGGACATTCTAAAACTAAAACGCACAATACCTAAAATTAAGAACCCACTGGGTGGGGATAACGGTAAGCTGGAAACAAGAGAAGTGAAATTGAAGACAAGTAAATAGAGAAATATATTAACTGAAACACAGAGAGGAAAAATACTACTATAAAGAGACACATGGGGTACATAGTCAAAAAACATAATATCATGAGATCGAAGTCCTAGAAGGAGAGGAAAGAGAGATTGGAGCAGAAGCAATACATGAAGCAGAAGACATAACAGCCAGGAAAGTTCCAAAATCGGTGAAAAGACATCAAACCACAGATCTGAAAATCTCAGGAACCCCAGCGGGGTAAATCAAAGAAAACCATACCTAGGCAAATCAGAGTCAAAGTCCTGAAAAACCTGAGAAAAGTGAAACTCAGATAACTAGCCACAGTACAAAAGACACGTTATCTCCAAAGAAGCAACAGTAAAACTGATGGGCTAACTTCAACAGAAACTATGGAAACCAGAACACAATGGAATGATGTCTTCAAAGTGCTGAAAACCAACCTAGAATTTTATACTCAGTAAAACTGTTCTTTGAAAGTTAAAATAAAGACACTTTACAGACAAAGGCTGAGGGAATTAATCACAAGCATACTGGCACTCTAAGGAATACTAAAGGAAGTTCTTTGGGTTGAAGGAAATTTATCATAGATGGAAACATGGAACTGCAGTAGGGAATAATGAGCACTGGAAATGACGACGGCCACTCGCTGTCTTGATTACTGTAGCATTGAGGTGAGTTCTGAAGCGTGAGTCCTCTAACACTGTTCTTTTCCAGGAATGCTTTGGTTATTCTGGGTCCTTCAAATTTGCATATGAATTTGAGATCAGGTTGCCAATTTCTTGAAACAATGCAGCTGGGATTATGATACAAACTGCTTTGAGTCTATATGTCAGTTTGGTGGATATTGTCATTTTAACAATGTCTTCCAATTCATAAACATCGGATGTCAGTTCTTTTAAAACGTATTTCAACAACGTTTTGGAGTTTCAGCACACTGTATAAGTTTTTCACTTCTTTTGTTATATTTATTCGTAAGTATTCTTTTTGAGGCTACTGTAAATGGAATTGTTCTCTGAATTTCATTTTGATTGCTTCTAGCATATAGAAATGCAATTAACTTTGTATATTGATCTTGTATTCTGCAACTTAGCTGAACTTGCTTATTAGTTCTAATAGGTTTTTAGTGCAGTCCCTAGGATTTTCTATATATAAAATCATGCCATCTACAAACAGACATAGCTTCATTCTTCATTTTCAATATGGACGCCTTTGATCTTTCTTCTTGCTTAATTTCCCTGGCTAAATTCCCAGTATAAGGTCAGACAGAACTGGCAACAGCAAATATCTCTGCCTTGTTTCTGATCTTAGGTGGAAAGCACTCAGTCTTTTACACTAAGTATGGTGCACTTAGCTGTGCGTTCTTCACAGATGTCCTTCATCAGATTGAGAAAATTCCCTTCAATTCCTAATTTTTGAGTGTTTCTATCATGAAAGGGTATTGACTTTTGTCAAATACTTTTTCTGAATTGATTGAGATGATGATGTGGCTTTTGCCCTTCGTTCCTTTGATATACTGTACTACATTAATTTTTTTTATGTTAAACCAAAAATTCTGGGACAAATCCCACTTAGCTATGGTGTACAAAAAATCCTCCTTTATATGTAGCTGGATTCAGTTTGTAAGGATTTTTGTTAAGGATTTTTGCATCTATATTCATAGGAAATATTGGATTGTAGTTTTCTTGTTATGTCTTTGTTTGGTTTTGGTATCAGGATAATACTGACCTCATAGAATGAGTTGTTAAGTGTGCCTTTGTTTTTTTCTTTTTTTAAAAATTTGTTTTAAATCTATTTTTAGAGAGTTCAAAAGTAAAGCCTTCTGGACCTGGGCTTTTCATTGTGGGAAATTTTTTTTATATTTATTTATTTATTTGGTTGCGCCGGGTCTTAGTTGCAGCCCGTGGGCTCCTTAGTTGAGGCTCGATGGCTCCTTAGTTGTGGCACATGACTCTTAGTTGCGACATGCATGTGGGATCTAGTTCCCTGACCAGGGATCGAACCCCTGCATTGGGAATGTGGAGTCTTATCTACTGCTCCATCAGGGAAGTTCCGTTTGTGGGAATTTTTTAAATTACTAATTCAGTCTCTTTACAGGCAGTTTTTGGACGGAAGTACAGTGAGAGCATCACGGCCACCCTCGTTCTAGATAGTGTGGTGTGGACGCTGGAGAGGACCAGGCTCAGGAGCTGTCTGGTGGCCGAAGGATCAACAAGTGGTATTTCATGGGGATTAGATTTGGACAGGCTGGCGGACCCGGCTCCACACGGAGGCAAAGGCGACCTGAGCGGAACGGGCACCGTTCACCGCCAGTCACCGCCAAGGACTGCCCCCTTCTGACTTCTGTGCTGCTACCTTCCCTCGGGCGAGAGGGGCTCCCCGCCCCGCCTGTCACGCGGCATGCAGGTGCGTCACCATATCTGCTGCCTCTTCGGAGGAAAAGCCAGAAATTCAAGTTTTCATTTTTAACTTCCTGATTTTTCAAAAGAATGACATAGCATGTTGGGAAACAGCATGTGAATCCAACAAAACATACCTGCAGAACGCATCTGAGCTGCGGTGACAGGTTGCAACCTCCGGGTGACAAGGCAGTTGTCCTTACGGCGTGTGACCACGACCAGGCCTGCTCTTAGGAAGCCCCTCGCAGACGGAGTGGGCTGCTGGGCCCGGCACCTCACGGCTCACCCCAGCGCCCCTCGTCCAGGCGTGGGGGACGTGCTCCCTGAGGAGCTGAACTGTCACCTCCTGTGGTCCTGTCTGCCGTCCCTGGCGCTGATGGGCTGGAAACAGAGATGGCAGTGAGCACTCAGGTGATCGTTCCTCCGGGCTGGCAGACAGCCCACGCGAGAGTCTGTCCAGGCCAGGAACTCGCCAGGCGACCCGCAGGGGCCGGCAGGGCTGTTGCCGTCTGCCTCCGCCAAGTTCCTGTTCTTTTCACAGCTTATTCTCCCCTGCAAGAGTGAAGCCGAGTAAAGTAAGCTTGCGCTAACTGAGCCCTGGTCCCAACTCCTGCCCACCTCAGGCCTGGGCCTGATGCGACGGCCTGGAACAGGGAGGGAGACTTTGCATAATCCTCATCGGACTGTTTCCCCTGAACCCACCACTGCGCAAGTTGCCCCCTCCCAGTAGACACACGACAGGCCTCACACGCGGTGGGTCGAGCAGCACAACCCGTAGCCCTGGAGGGTGACCCAGGCCCTCTCCTGATGAGCTGGTGACCACAGCCATCAGGGGCCGCGGGCAGCTCAGCGGAGGGGAAAGAGCCCCTGACTGATGCTCTCACAGGGGACAGCGTTTCTACCTGGGAAACTGGGGGGTGGGCAGCGCTTCTGTTCCATCGGGAAGACAGCCAAAGCCCCAAAGCATCCGGACCCTGGTAGCCGCCCTGCCCTAACCCTGACTCCCCCGCAGGCCCGAGAGGCCAGGGTCTCAGAGCTTCAGTCCGCACGTGCTCGCCTGCAAAAGGGAAAGGATTCCAGGAACACAAAGTGTTGTCTTTCCAAAAACAGCAAGCCCAGATGCCTTATTCCGAAAACTTTCTTCACACCTGGAGCTCAGCCTTCCCCATCCAGCGCGGGCTGGGGGTGCCGGCCGGGCTCTGCTGGGAAGCGGGCAGTGCTCCCCACCTGCGTGAGGAGCGAAGGTGTTGATGAGGAACGTGTGCGTTTCCAGGGGCTCGGAGCAGGCATTTCTGGGCGGGGTCAAAGGAGGCTGCCAGGGAGCCCTCTGCCAGTCTTGTTTTCTCTGAACTTCTGGCCCCAGTGGGGAAAGGATATTGAAACTTCATTTTTTTTTTTTTTTTAGAAGATGTTGGGGGTAGGAGTTTTTTTTTTTTTTTTTTTCTGTGTTGGGTCTTCGTTTCTGTGCGAGGGCTTTCCCTAGTTGTGGCAAGCGTGGGCCTCTCACTATCGCGGCCTCTCTTGTTGTGGAGCACAGGCTCCAGACGCGCAGGCTCAGTAGTTGTGGCTCACGGGCCCAGCCGCTCTGCGGCATGTGGGATCTTCCTGGACCAGGGCTCGAACCCGTGTCCCCTGCATCGGCAGGCGGACTCTCAACCACTGCGACACCAGGGAAGCCCGAAACTTCATTTTTAATTTTCAGTTATGGTCCACATGCTGAAGGGTTACAGCCTGGGATTTAGAAAACCAAGCCGTGAAAAAGACCTGAAATGCTATGTTCAAGGCTGGTCAGCCAGCCTACGATTCCTTCCAGGACACAAGCCCAAAGGCACAATCTGGGACGGTGATATATTATTCTATGCCAGTGACATCGCACAGTTAGGACAACCCTGTTCACATCCCCAAAGTTGTGAGTTTATATCAATACTTCAGTCTGCAGGTTACCTAATGATTTCTACAGGGCTTTCCCACTTGGACGTGATGGACCCTCATCTCTCAGCTCTCCCCACGCTATCATTTGAGGAGTAAGCCTGGGGCCTTGACTGTATTTCTTTGAGGCCAGTTTGTGAAATGATGCGTAGACCAACCAGTCCTGGCAATAATCGAAAGAGGGGAAGTTGGAGAGAGAGACAGCCAGGCTCAGAATCAATCATCGCTCAGTGGATACCTTAACCACCAGTAACTCAAGAAAGCAAAGCTCTTCAAGAACGAACAGCTCGTGTCTCTCACTGGCACCGCTGGGGGATTCCAGAAAAACTGGCGACCGCAGGAAAGCTACCAGATCCCAAAGGGTCTTGTTAGATGCTCAGGGCTTTTCTTTTCTTTAAAGTTGAATCATCAGGTTCATAGAGACAGGCAGCAGAATGGGAGTTTCCCAGGGCTGCAGGGACTGGGGAGGGGGGTAGTGTTTAATGGGGACAGATTTGCAGTCTTACAAGACAAGGAGCTCTGGAGATCTCCTGTTAAGTAGACTTAACACTACCAAACAGTTAAAAATAGTTAAGGTGGTAATTTTTATATTATGTATATTTTGTTATAAAAAATGAAAAAAAGAAGAGTTGAATTAGCTGCCAACATACACAAGTGAAGACATCACTGTTACAAATCTCGGCTCCCCGCTGCCCTTCTGTGTGGCCAGATCACGTGATACGGCGGGGTGCCCGCCTGGGGGCTGTGAGTGACAGCCCCGGGTCAGCTGCGTGGCTCTGCCTGTCACATCCCAAGTTCCTGGGTCTCAGACTCCTGTGCTGGAGCAAATGGAACACACTCTCCACACCTGCCCCAGAGCAATTAAGATGCAAAACTTTAGAAAAGTTCTTTACTACACGCTCTTAGCTGCGCTTGACAGATAAATTAGGCAAAGAGCAAACGTGGTCCCACGGGAGGGCAGCACAGGCTGGCTGGGCCGCACTCAGAGGGGCTTCTGTGTCGCCCTGCAGCCGAGGTCCCCCTCTGCCGCTGCTCCAGGCCAGCCGCCCTGCCTGCTTCTGCAGACTTGGGGCCACTCAACAGGTCCTGAGGGACGAAGGGCACTTCATCCTTCGCCACTTCGTCCTCCTTCCTCCTTCCAGGACACTGCCTCCCGGGAGCCCCAGGCCTGCAGCCAGGACCCTGAATGGGGACAGTGTGTGATCTCAGAGGGCCCACTCGTCTGCTCCTGGGAAGCAGAAGCCCAGCCCACCAAGGGCCAACTTTGGGGAAGATCTGTGGTGTGGAATCTGTGCCCTGGAAGCAAAGGTGAGTCCCCTGGCTGGTCGCTGCCAGCAATCACAGGCTACCAAGACACCTTGGGGGGTGACAGCCAGGGGCCCCCAGCCCCCGGCCCCGCCCGGAGCAGCCGTGCACAGTCACCCCTCTCTGGGGTCCAGAACGTTCCTCCCTGTGCAGTGTTTGCAGATCCAAGGACGGGTCCCAAGTCCCAAATAAGGAAGAATATCTGAAAACGGGCACCGAAGGAAAAGGAATAAACTGTTGTGACGTTGAGTTCTGCCGTCAAAGCACTTGGAAAGGCCCCCAAGCCTGACATTATTTTTCCAAGTTGTGGTCCTTAAGGTGTTGTCCAAAAAGTGTCCAAAGGACCCAGGGAAGGACAGAGAGGCCTCGGTACCGTCTGTGTCAAGATGTCCCTGGAAGAACAAGCAGGGAGTCCTAAGGGCAAACACAGGAATTAGCACAGGGAGACTTGGGCCCGGGGGTCTGGATGCCCACATTTCACAGTGACAGTGACCTTTAGAAGTGAAGCTGGCACGTGGCACAGAGCAACCCGACTTTAAAAGCCATCAGTGGGACTTATGTTTTTATTTATGTTTTACTATTTTATGCAGAAATTCCTGGTTCTGGACGGCTCACAGAGGGAACCACAAGAGGAAATGGGTGAGCTGTGAGGGGCAGAGGATTGAAAACCCTAGGTTTTCAAGAAGAAAACCTACAGTGTTTCCTGCATCTCTACGTTGGAATTTATCACTCGTCCAAGCACAACAGATAACTGAGCGGGGTATTCCGCCACCTCTCCAAAAACAATACGGCCACGTGTCCAAAGTCCACCGCTCCCAAAACCTCATATCCGTCTATGAAGGGTCCCTCTGTGGTACCCACCTCGTACCAGGTAAATCCTGCTGCTGTCACTGAGCAGGCACAGTGCTTTCCATTTCTATGTGGGCTTTGAACAGACCATAAATCCATGGATGAACTAGTCAGATTTTGACCACATTTCTTTCCACAAAGGCGAGGTGAGCTACGATGAATTTAAGCCTAGAGGCCTGCACAGGAAAATCCTACAGATTCCTTCTTCATAAATTGAGGATGAGACGTGCGGAGGATGCCCAGCGAGTTCTCGCTTACCCCCAGATGCCCAGGTCGTGTAATAGCTCTTTGGACGAATGGCTGGGAAAGCTCAGCCTTCCTCGGTTCTGGGCCAGCGCACCAGCGACCGCCCACGGCTGTGGCTGAGCCACTACCCTTTCGGGGCTCAGATGCCTGGTCCCTAAATTAGGCCCTGTATGTTTCCTGACCTACGACTCCGTGATTTTGTCTTTAATTTGCAGGAGGCAGGGAATAAAGATCAGATAATATCTTGGAAGAAATGGGCAAAAAAGTTGGAAGAGAAGTTGTTGCTGGGGGTGATGGCAGCCAGCCCTATCTGCCTTAACCCCAGGGAAGAGGGATCCCTCTTTGCTTTGAGATCAGAGCTCAGCCTTTCTAGTTCCCAGAGAGATGCTGCAGCCTGAATCTCGCAGCCCTGGTGGGCAAAGAGAACTTGGCCTGAAGTGCGTCATTCCCCCAGCTACAAAGAGCCCCGTGTTAGGCATGTCTTCACCTGGGAGGAAGGCACCTTATCACCACATTCAAGGGGAGAGGAGGGGAGAGAGGCCACATTATCATTAGTTAATTTCTGCTCTTGTGACAGGTACAGAGAAACAATGGGAAGATGACATGGGGAAAGCAAAGGTTCCAGGAAAGGTCCAGGTGTATCACTGAACAGTGAAGTCCTTATAAATAAATGATGTCATATAGTCACAAAGGGGTTTTTAGAAAGCCTTACGCTACACTGGGTGAACACAAAGAGGCCAAACACTGCGTGCCTAACAAGGCTGTCTTTATTCCGTGGATCCCAACGCTTCCTTCAGCCGCTAAGGAGACCGCAGACGCTCTGGAGCACCCCAAGTTCAGAGGAACATCGGGACACTGGAAGGCTTCCAGGAAGGAGCCGCCAAGTGAGTCACAGGCTGCAAAGGGCAGCGTGACAGGAGAGGGTCAGCCGCACGGAGCCCCAGGTAAGCACGGCGCTCTGAGCCCACCGGCACCAGCACAACCCGCAAATAATCACCAGGACCCCCGTGAAGGTTCCCCTTCTCCCCAGAACTGGGGCCGGGCAGCTGCAGACCACACCTGGGCTCTCGGCCAGAGAGCCCACAACATAGTTATAACCTGCAGATCCAGGGGCCGCGGCTGCTGGCCTGAGGGACGGAGATTAGCTGTCGGCTGCCAGAGACACGGTCCCACGGGGGGTGACCAGCCAGGCAGAGTGGTGTCCGGGTCAGTGCAAGGCACGCACCGGCGCTCTCGCCTCTGTCCCCTCCTCCCACGCAGCCCTTCCCCTCGCTCTCCTTCCCTCCCTTCCCCCTCCCGCCGCCACAGTGACGCCCGCTCGCTGGCCTCCCGTTCCATTCGCTGCTTCAGTCCGGGGAGTAATGAGATGTTACAACAGACCGCCCTTGAGGCCTCCGTGACCCTGCAGACCAGCCTCCAAGACCACAGGGTCTGCAAAGACGCGCAGCCAGCACACCGCCAGGGTCACGGGAGAGACCGTGGAGGCCACTGCACCGCCTCGGTCCTGCCCACCTGCCGCCCAGCCTGCATCTCGCACCGCAGTGTGGGTCAGAGGTCAAGGATGCAGTCTTCTGGAATCCTGGGTCTGTCCTCTTCCACTTACGCAGCCTGAGCCTGTCTTTCCCTCAAATGCACAACCTCTTACCCTAAATTTAATTTTTTAAAAACCCAGAGGCAGCAAGATGTGGGAGAGTTACTTCATCTTCGGTGTTTGAAATCAGTGATCTGAAAACACATGGCTTTCAGGTGCACTAACGTGGCCATTACCTGGGGCAGTTTACAGATGAATTACTCATGCTTCAGGAGAAGCTCTCCCGAGTCTTTTCTTTCCTTTTTTTAACAATCCTGTGTTGACTGAGAACAAGCAAGGAAACCAGCATGGAGAACACCGTTAGCCAGCCCACCTGGAGGGACAGGTGCGCGGCTCCACCTGGCCTGGGGGGCAGCCCTGGAAGCTTTGCCATTACAGGCCCCTCACCCCTGGGAAGCTAAGGTTCTACCAGGGTCTTCCTAACCCGTGTCCACTCTTCTTCCTTAGAAAGAAACCTCATAAACGTGACAACCATCCTATAGTTCAGATTTGGTCAGGGTTCCGGGTCCACCTGTGATCCCATGATCGGCGGTTGTCTGTGATGTAAGGACACAGGACGGAATGTCTGCTGCCCCAGACATGGAGTGTGGACGGGTGGACGGAAAGGCAAGCCGTGCGGCCAGAATTCAGTGCCGACTTGGGGTCGGAGCTGCTCCTACTTCTCTGCCTCCTTCCAGCTCTTCTGCGGCTTCCCCAGGACCCCTGGAGCCCAGGCCTCCTCCTGCCACCTGCACCCCGTCTTGCAGGCTCTGCAGCTGCGGTGTGAGGTTCCACAGGGCCCCCTGCTCACCCTGTGTCACAGGAGCAGTTGGGTAAAGCTGGAGGGGCCACCGGAGGAATCCAGGCCCAGGCGGATAAAGGCCAATGTCCTACGAGACAGTGGAGGAGACAAAGGGCCCAGGACCCAGAGGGCCCCGAGGAGGTGCAGCCCAGGCAGCTCGTGGGGCTGGGGTCTCAGAGACCCCAGGTTAACCATGGCAGAGCATGAATGGAGGAATGGATAAACAGAACGTGTTCTGTCCAGACAGTGGAATATTATTCAGTCTTGAAAAGGAAGGAAATGCTGACACCTGCTACAACATGGCTGAACCTTGAGGGCGTGATGCCCAGTGAAATAAGCCAGTCGCAAAAGGGACAAATAGGGTCGGATTCCACTTATAGGAGGCACCCAGAGCAGCCAAATTCACAGAGACAGAGTAGAGTGATGGGTGCCAGGGGCTGGGGAGGGAAAGTATGAGAGGCACGCATGTAACGAGTACAGATTCCAGTTTTGCAACATGAAAACGCTCTAGAGGTGGATGGTGGGATGGTTGCACAACAGCGTGGACATGCTTAATGTTACTGAGCTGTACACTTAAAACTTGTTAAAGTGGTACATTTTATGTTATGTGTAGTTTAACTGCAATTTTAAAAGGGTTAAGATAGTTTTTTAAAAAGTGAACCTGGGGAAACCCCAGAGGTATCCTTGCTGACATCAGTAGGATGTCCACCATCATCACAACCATTAGCACAGTACTGGTGATGCCAGCCCAAACAGTTAGATATGACAAAGAAATTAGATGCATAAACATTGAGAGGAGGTGAACCTCTTACTGTTGATTCACGGTATTACTACAACCAGGAAACCGTAAGAGAATTAACCAAAACTACTACTATAAACAAGACTTCTACCAGAGGAAGGTCAAAACAAGGTCAACATTAGACGCCACCATGCCTTTGTTCAGCTTAGGAAAATGTGTCCCATCCCAGTAGAAAGGGCACCTCTTTCTGGTCATGGGGTCATAGCCCCATGGGCATGCTGCCTGGCCAGGAAAGGGCAAGCTGAGTTCCAGCCCCATGCCCCCCTCAGCTGGAGGCCTTGTGCAAGGACAAGGTACACAAATGCACACTCTCAGTAGTAAGACAGAAAATTAACACGTAGAAATCAACAGCTTCACACAAACAAACAACTCTCCTTCAAAAGATGGGGAACGCAACACGGTTTACAAGATCAGTAAGAGAAGAAACATCTAGGAAAAACTTAACAAGAAACGTGTAAACCTTCAGAATAAAACTTCAAAATGCTCCTGAAGGATACAAAGGTGGAATTTTTAAATGGAAGAACATACCATGTTCTTGACAGGAAGACTCAACATCAAAAGATGCCAACTCTCTCTACATTCATTTAATTAAATATGAATACCATCTCAATTTTTTAAAGGGCATTTTTCTGGAACTAGACAAGCAATTCTAAAGTCTATATAAAAAAAGGAAAGAGAACCAAGAAAATTCTGAGAAGAAAAATGAGGGAATTATTATTAATTTTCTTGGATGTGGTAACGACGTGATGATTATGTAAGAAAACGTCTTCCTTTCGGGAGTGGCATGCTGACATGCTGTCTGCACCTGACATGCACAGGCTCACACACATCTGTGCTCACACACACACACAGCTAGGGCAAAGGTGGTAACTGCTATCAGTTGTTGAATTTAGAGGGATACATAGGTGATCATAAGTAAATAAATAGGTGATTTATTTATTCATAATAAAAAGCTGAAAAAAGGTACACCATAAACAAAGGCAAAAGACAAATGACGAACTGGGAAAAACTATTCATAACTCATATCATAGACAAGCGTTCGCCTTCCTCAAAAACCCCCAAGACCGACAACACGGAGGCTGGGATGGCAGGGGTGGGAATTCCACACCCATCAAAATTACAGATGTGCCTACTTTGGGCCTGACCACCTGACGTCTGGGAATTTAGCCTGTGATGGTCCTCACACACACATGACAGATTCCAAGTCGATCCACTGAATCATTGTTTGTTCTAGTAAAAGGCTGACAACACCACAAGCATCCCTCATGCGGGGTTAAATGACCTCAGCATGTCCACCCACAGAAGAGCAGGCGCCTCTGGAGAAGAAGCTCCCTGGGCACTAAGCAGAGATCTGCAGGATACAGTATTAGGGGGAAACTGAGGTGTTTGGGGGTTAAAAAGGAATAAAAATAAGGACATATTTTTATTTGTTTATATTTCCACAGTGACATACCAGAAGGACATGGCATGCACATCCTCCCCCAGATACACACACAAACCTAATCAAAGGAGCTGCACTACAGCTGGGCTTTGGGGACGGGAGGCCAGTGACCCAGGCGGGAGGAAGACGTCTCAACGTCTGCCTTTTTACATCTTTTCTACGTAAACCATGTGCATGGATCACCTATTCCAACAATAAAATTCAGAAGAAAAAGAAAGCCATCCTCAAGAACTTCTGAATTCCAGACAAGGATTTCCTAAGTATTGGCGAGACAATGTGAAGATTCCTCTATGAGTCGTCTGGCCAACACCTTGCTCCCTGACCGCCTCTGTGACCTCGGTCACCTCCTTTAAATTGTGCCAAATAGGGAGCCCGCTGCTCAGCTGGTGAGCCGGGTCCCTGTGCAGAAATAACCTCGACAATCCAGAGCAAGAAAACCCCTTCCCTCGGGGACTAGAAGCGTGGCATTTGCCCCAAACTCTCCAACAGCTCTCCCCCAGGCTCTGCTTGTATAGATACAGCCCGGCTTCGCCCAGGGGCCTCGGTCCTTTCCAGATAATTCCTAAACAAATATGGAGGCGAGACAATCAAAGAGCAAGATCAGGGAGGGCGGGGAGCCGCTGCCCCTCGTGGTCTCGTCCAAGACACCAGCGTGAAACACGTCGCCACCCTACTGAGCCACCCGGACGCCAGGAGCCCACACGTACTGATTCTGTCCGTTCCAGTCTCTTCGTAAGAGAGAAAAGCCAGAGAATGTGAAGGGCCTGTGCTACGTGCGTGGAGCGCGGGCCCACGGGAAAGCCCTACCCTCTCCCAGAAGCCACCTGCTCAGGGTGAAGACAGAATACTTTGCAGAGCGTAGCTGCCTGTCGGGAGGACGTCCCTGGGCTGCCCAGGAGGCGACGGGGGACAGAGGCTCAGGCAGCACCCCCATCCTGACACCCCTCGGCGGCTCCCCTGTGGTAAAGTCAGCTCGGAAGAGAACAGCACTCACTAAAAGCCTACGCGGCCCGAAGGTCCAGGCGAGGGAGGCGATGCATTTCGTGGGCCACCTGCAGCGGGACGGCCGGGGGTTTAGAGCCGTCAGGAAAGCTCTCGGGTCTCCCCGACAGTCGACCTGGGCTGCTGCTCAGGCCAGCAGGACAGGCCCAGCGCCCGATGAGTGCCCTGTGTCCCCAGCGCCCTACTCACCTACCCAGGGCCAGGCCAGCTGGGGGTGACAGCCGCCGTCACACCTGGCGCCCCCAGGGACAAAGCCGCCTCGAGTTATCTTCCTAAATCCTCGGCCTTTCTCCACCCCCGACAACTTCAGCTCTTTCTGTTTTCATTTTACACAATAAAATTACACAGGGCAATACGATATTTAAATACAGAAAATTAGAGATTTGGGGTTTTCCCAAGTAGGGTAATGTCAGTGTCAGCTCATCACTCAGAGCCCCTCTGGAGAGAACTGCAGGCTGTAGCGGGCCCCCCAGCCCAGCGCCCTCCTGACCTCTGCTCACCTGATTCATCAAGGCCCGGGACTGTTTTCCCGGAGACCCGGGGAGAACAGTGCTGCTGGCTCTAGCTAATGACCGGCAGCACCAAACCCATGGAAGCAGGCGGGAGGTGAGCTCAGCTCCGGGCCGTGGCTCAGGCCACAGCGTCTGCGCCCTCCCTGGGTGTCCCGGAGCGACCACTCTCTCCCAGGACATGTAAATACAGCTTTGTGACCAGAGGGGGATGACAAGGTCAGGACCAGGGAGAGACCCCACTCAGAGCATTCTTTTTTTTTTTTTTTTTTTTTTGCGGTATGCGGGCCTCTCACTGTTGTGGCCTCTCCCGTTGTGGAGCACAGGCTCCAGACGCGCAGGCCCAGAGGCCATGGCTCACGGGCCCAGCCGCTCCGCGGCATGTGGGATCTTCCCGGACCGGGGCACGAACCCGCGTCCCCTGCATCAGCAGGCGGACTCTCAACCACTGCGCCACCAGGGAAGCCCAGAGCATTCTTGATAAAAGAGCAAACCTTGGGGACCCAGGGGTGTGCACGTCTCCCCATCATCCTCCTTCCTGCTGTGGCCCCCTTCTGATTCCTAGCTCACATTCCTAAATTTGAGGTCGCAGCCACGCGAGTCTGTGCTTCAGAATTACCGAGTTCCGACACGTCTGCCCCTGTTTCCCTTCCTTTCCTGACACATAAAGCGAGAGAGTCTCTGGGGACGCCCTGGTTCAGGGTTTGCATCAGCCAGACTGAGGGTGAGGGTGTGCGTGCCGCGTGTGTCAGTGGGTGGTGTGTGTGTGAGAGTGAGTGTGCTGAGCGGGGGGTGAGCACGTGTGTGGTGTGTGTGTGAGCATGTGTGGGGGTCAGAGACGGAGACAGAGCACCTCTTGGGTGGCGGGGTCACGTGCTGAATCACTGGTGAACTGAAGCCAAGCAATTCAAACGAAGAATTTCCTTTTTCATTGACTCACGAAAGGCTTAATAGCTCTGGCAGAAACTCCCCGAAATTTTTACCTTTGGGCAGACATGGCCCAGCACCAGACAAGAGCTTTCCGCCCCAAAGCATCTGGCAGGAAGTCAGGAGCAAGGAAGTCAAGTGGCTGAGCCCGTCGCCTGGCCTCGTGGTGGCCAGCCTCTGCTCCCGCGGGCGCCGGACGCAGTCTCCGCGTCCCCGGCCACAGCGCTCGACTCACCTGGCCGCAGGGTTACGTCCCAGGAAGGGATTTGTGAGCTAGTGTAAAGCCACCTTTCCGGAATCAGCACGTGCTGTAGACTTCACAGAAAAATCCACACACACACCCTAGAGCCACCTCCTCTGTAGAGAACCTTCTGTGCTCAGAACACCCTGATAATCCTTCCTGTGAGAAACTGACACGCAGAGTGTGTTTCGTCATTAAGTTCAGAGGACAGGTGTGTAACGTTCCGGAGCACCTGCCAATGCACAACGTGAAATGGAGAAGTGAGGCCCTTTCCAGACATGTGCCCCCGAAGCACACGTGCCCGAATCTCCTGGATAAAGCGCAGACACACGTGCCACTCGACGGAGCTGCGAACGGTCGGAATTCACCACCTCCATCTGCACGTGTCGTTCGTTCCCCGAATGATCGAAAACAAAAATTCTTCCAAAAACTAAGCTACACGTGTGAGCTACCTACTGTCTGCCGAAGAGTCACCTGCCACTTCCTTACGGCCAGGCTCTGAGGACAGGCGACCACAGGCCGGACCTGCCCTGTGACGATGACAATGGGTGACACAGGCCACCTGTCCTACGCTCCTGCCTCAAGCCAGACACCGTCCCATGTGCTTTAT